TATTTTTTCTATTGTCATTAATGTGGTTTTCTTTATATTTAATTTCTGTCCCATTTTTTCACTGTTCTCCTTGACTTTTACTACTAGACCTTGCAGATCTTTTGCATTTTTTGGCAGATGTCATCACCATAGTGCAGATTATTGACATTTCTTCTTTCCGTTTTAAAGTCATGATTGCTCATCTTGTTCCAATCCAACTTCTCTTAATATATATTCAGCATGAAGTTTGAATTAATAAGGGGAGAATATATAGCCTTGTTCCGCTCCTTTGAGTGGAACATGGAACCTATGTGTGTCACCATGTTTCCCCCATTTTAACTAAGTTATTATGTAATGGATAACCATTTCTCTGAAGTGGTGTAGGGTTTCCTGCCTGGGCAGGGGGTTGGACTAGAAGACCTCCAAGGTCCCTTCCAACTCTGTTATTCTATTCTATTCTATTCTATTCTATTCTATTCTATTCTATTCTATTCTATTCTGTTCTGTTCTGTTCTGTTCTGTTCTATTCATTCTATTCTAATGGTGAAAGTGAAAAAAAATTGGATGTGGAGAGTTCGTTGGCTGTAGAGGTGAAAAACTAAACGATGTTGTTAATTTATTGTCAGCTTCACTTTCAGTTGAAGGGATTTGGGAAGTTTTGATGTTTTGCTGGGACCAAGCTGTAAAGAAAGAATTGCCTTTCTTTACAGTTTTTGCTGAAATGAGATTTTACACATGACTACACCTGTGTCATGCAAACAAGAGGGAAAGGAAAACATTTTGAGGAAACTGGATTTATGTGTATGGAAGAGGAACATTTTTTTTTTATTAGATGCATGTACATGGAAAGGGAACAAATAAGTTGAATTTGTTCAGAAATTGAGAAATTCCTTCAGAAAAGTAAGGTTGCCCCTACTGTAAGTCTTCATAACTCAAAAGTTATGAAGTTTTCAAACCTATTGTTATTATTTTCAACTTTATATATGAGTTCTTCTAGTTTATAACGTAAGGTTAGTCAAAAGTGAGACTTTAAAATTTGATTTATTTTAATGAGAAACACATTCATTTTATAGTTAATTCAGATTCTGAGTTCTTTTGAAATACTTTATACACCTAGAAATCATTTTCATTATTTTGAAATTACATAATTCAATGTCCATCTGTCAAATTCACATGGAGGTTATCTACATTATCCATAATTTAATTTTAAACCAGATTTCTTTCTTTCTTTCTTTCTTTCTTTCTTTCTTTCTTTCTTTCTTTCTTTCTTTCTTTCTTTCTTTCCTTTCTTTCTTTCTTTCTTTCTTTCTTTCTTTCTTTCTTTCATAATTTAGTATGAAACTGCATGAAAGACAGGAAATGATAGCTAATTTATATTAAGGTCTTCGCTCTTTTACAGGCTAAGAGTGAGAAATACTGTAAGTATGGTGGGGGGGGAAACTTGCACCATCATTTATGAGCAGTAAAAATATATTCATTTAACAGTAAATTCTAGAATGAGGTATCTTACCTTTTGCTTTAGACTATTGTGATCTCTGGATTATTGCATACCTACTTGTTTTACCACCAGTTCTTCTAGATAAAGGGGGATGCTCTGATATCTATTGTTATTTGGAAAGAAACAGGAATATATTGCCCTCTAGTGTTGAAAAAAAATCCATTTTGGAAAACCAAATGAGGTTTAATTTAAAAATTCAGAATGTGTTCCCTAACAATATGCAAACAAATTTTTGTTGCTTGCTCCTGCAAAGACAACTGATGGCTTGTTTTGGGCAGCACATATCCCTAATGTGATTGTAAACCCAAAGTCTTGCATGTGATTTGATAAACTTCAGGAGTGTAAGTTGCAGTTATTTATCATTGTCACCATCGAACTGCATCCTTGTGTTTTTCTTCTTTGATTGATTTATAATTCAGTATAAAAAAAGCACTGGACACAACTTATAAGAACTTTGGAATATTCAGGCTTGTGCTATCAGTTGTGAGCTAATTAAAAATTTACTACCAACAATGGAAATATCTATTTACGATTATATTTTCTTTATCTCCTTATAAAAAAAAAAAAGAAAATTTAAATGATATCTTAAATATGAACAGATTGGATGCATAGTGCAAAGTTTCCTCAAAAATGATACTCAAAGCATCCTCATCAAAATGATGTGTCAAATGGGAGGTAATCCTTGAACCCTTGAAATATTTTTACTTCTAAATAGAGTAAGGATTAAAATGAGTAGCCTAAATGTCCCTTTACAAATCTATAGTTACAGAGTTGGTTAGTTAAAACATTATGGAAATAACATACACAAATAATACAATAATATAATAATTGTCTCTTTTTGGCTCTTTTATTATACAATCAGATTTATCCATTTCAATGACAATACATTCGAAGTAATTAAAATTTCTATTTTTATGTTGTAAAATAGTTAAAATTACCTAAATACATAATCTAAAAAAATAGAGTATTTTACAAATCAGGATTAGTTAATAAAGACACCACAGGAACCAAGTCCAAGTTTCTGATATTTGATAATAGTTAATCATCAAAACCTAAGAGAATACCATGGAGAAGTTTATTCCCACAACACTGAGCATAAATCACATAGGAGTGTGATATGAAAGTATTGTATAGTGATTAAAGTGCTGCCCTAGAAACCAGGAGACTGAATTCTAGGCCTGCCTTAGACCCAGGAGTGAAATCCAGCAGGTTCTGATAGGTTCTGGAGAACTGGTAGTGGAAATTTTGAGTAGTTCGGAGAACCGGTAAATACCACCTCTGGCTGGTCCCAGAGTGGGGTGGGAATGGAGATTTTGCAGTATCCTTCCCCTGCCACGCCCACCAAGCCACGCCCACTGAACCAGTAGTAAAAAAAAATTGAATTTCACCACTGAAATTCAGTCACCTTCTCTCAGCCCAACCCACCTCACAGGATGATTTTTGTGGAGAAAACAGGAAGCGGGAGTATTAGGTATGTTTGCTATCTTATATTGACCAAAATATAGAAAAAGAGAATACAAATTTAATATTCATATAACTCTATCTGAATACAAATTGCGTAAATCATACATGCTTATCACTGCATTACTTTTTATTCCACTTCTTATTCCTTAAAATGCTATTTTGCTTTAAAACTATTTCCCAGAAATTATCTTATATAGAGTGTGGCAGTTTTGCATTGATTTAATTATGATCTGGCCAAGAATATAAATGCGAATGTTTCTATTTGATTGCAGAAATTCATTTAGATGGTCTATGGCCTTTTTTTTTTTGCTTCCTACTCTTCAATTATATCTAAGAAACGATCTCATGGGCATCTCCATTAGATTTTGCTAGTAGTTGTGCTACTCATCCTATCATGAGGGGATCTTTTGGAGGATCTAAATCAGAAGCTGATTTAACTAAATTCATAATTTTAAATCCCACAGACCACTAATATGATCTGCCTAATGACTGGCTGGGTGGGCATGGCTAGATGGTCATGTGATTGGATGGGCATGGCCAACTCGATGATGTCACTCATATTGAGGGGCACCTCACCAGACTCTTCTCACCCCTCTCCTGCCAGCCACTCCTCACTTTCCCGCCGAGGCTCCTTAGGACCCCAACAGGAAGCAGTTGTTGGAGCTAAGCAGCCACCACAAGAAAGAGTTGGCAAAACAGCTGGCTCAGTTCAAATTAGATCTGACCGAGAAGAAGGCTCAGCAGAAGCACCTCACTCAGGACTACGAGCATAGGCTTTCCAAGCAGAGGGAAGACCTGCAGGAGTGCAAGGCCAGGATCCGGTGCCTGGAGGCTCAGCAGGCTGAGATGGTCAGTCAGTTACAGGCCATGATGCAGTCCCACTAGAACAAGGCCCTCCGGCTCCTTGCCACCAGAGGCACTTCCCTCCAGCCTTCACCCAAAGCCCCAACCAGAAAGCTGAAGGAGACACCAAATCAGAATTTTTGCCCCCCTCCAACCCGCACCAAAAGACCCTGAAGGGGGAGACTCTCTGCAGCAACACTGGCATTCATTGCACGTATCCAGCCCAGGGGCCATAATTTGAGGACCTCTGCTTTAGTGTAATATTAAAAAAATGCAAATAATTTTTCTGTGGACCACCAAAATTTTCTCATGGACCAACAGTGGTCCATGGACCACCAGTTGGTGACCGCTGTGCTAGAGGACTAAGGGCAGGGGTGAAATGTAAAATTTGTTACTATCGGTTCTGTGGGCGTGCTTGGTGGGGGGCGGTAATGTGACTGGGTGGGCGTGGCCAACTTTAAAAAAAAAAACTTTTCAAAGCATTTTTTCTAATGCTTTGAAAAGCCTTTGCCGATCAGGCAACTCAGCTGGGATTGTCAGAGAGGGTTTTTAAAAAATACATCTCTGCCGATCAGGCAACTCAGCTGGGATCGTCAGAGACTTTTCAAAGCATTTTTTTTACCACCTCTTCGTCCAAGAGGTGAGTCTACCCTCCCTCTGACTGGCCAGTGAGGGAGGATAGCTTAGGAAAAAGGACATTTGTATGGCAGGGAGGAAGGTGGGAGCCCTGTTGAAACTGAGAGCTTGAGCTATAGTGCCACAGGGACTTCCTTCTTCATCCATCTATCCAGAAGGTCTGAGGGAGTGAAAAGAGTGGTTGGATGGGGGTAGCAGAGCCCTCTGCCCTGAGAGGAAGGAATCTTAATAATATAAATTTCTGATAAATTTATATAAAAATTCAGCTGATGGTTCTTATTATTGTGTTTTATAAAATATGAGAATTATCATGAATTGTGCTTTTATGTAGCATGATAAATATAGGCCCGAAGTAAATAATGAGTGTTTTGGATAACAACTGTAAATGATAAGCATGTTCTTCACACATAAATTTTACCAGGAAGTCATCCCCTTGTCATCTTCTCTCTTGGAATCAATAAAAATGTTCATAGGTGGGATTTATTTTTCTTTTAATAGAAATTACTAGCTTATTTAATTAACACATTTTAATTGCTGTATGGATTTTCTTAACCTACTCTAATTTCTTACTTTGTTGCAGATAATGCTAAGCATCTCCTCCATTGATTATTGGCAACTGGTGCAGTCAAAGAACACAGCTTTCAATATAAATTCCCACCTCTTTGGACTTTCAATATCTGGAATTTCATAGTCTTCACCTTTCCCCCAATACATGAATTGCAATGGTCACATGAATATTTGGAGAGTGGTATTCATACCATCTCGTGGTCTATTTATGATGGCACTTTAAAAGGAAGAAGCCAATTGTTGGAAGTTTGGGGGAGATGAAACTGAAGAAATACACCCCTGCCACAAAACAAAACAAAACGAAGATGAATCTGATCATGAAACTTCGTAGGAGTTTCCGAACGCTCGTCATTCTCCTTGCCACCTTCTGCTTAGTGAGCATAGTCATTTCTGCTTATTACTTGTATACAGGTCACAAGCAAGAAATTGCCCTCACTGATACCACAGGAGAAATGGAGTGTGAAGATCTTAAACTTTTGCCCTATAGAACACTAGAACTTAAAACAGTGAAGCCAATCGATCCTACTAGGACTGATGCTATGGTGTTGCTTTTTGTGGAAAGCCAGTACTCTCAACTTGGGCAAGACATCATTGCCATCCTGGAGTCTAGTCGGTTTCAGTATCATATGGTGATTGCATCTGGGAAAGGGGATATCCCACCCCTGGCTGATAATGGCAAAGGGAAATACATCCTTGTAGTATATGAAAATATTCTGAAATACACATCCATGGATTCGTGGAACAGAGAACTCCTGGAAAAATACTGTGTGGAATACAGTGTTAGCATAATTGGTTTTCATAAAGCCAATGAGAATAGCTTGTCAAGTATTCAGCTCAAAGGATTACCATTACATCTTTACAACAATATAGCTCTGCAGGATTGCTTAGTAAACCCCCAGTCTCCTCTATTGCATATAACCAAAGCCCCAAGGGTTAAAAAAGGCCCATTACCTGGCGATGACTGGACTGTTTTCCAATATAACCACTCTACTTATCAACCAGTGCTTTTAACGGAATTTCAAGCCTCCAAATCATTCCCAGCATCGCTTCCAAAGCTTAATCTCTATGCTACAGTGATTCAGGACCTGGGACTTCATGATGGAATTCAAAGAGTCCTTTTTGGAAACAACTTGAACTTTTGGCTGCACAAACTTATTTTTATAGATGCCATCTCCTTCTTGACAGGAAAAAGGCTTACATTATCCTTGGACAGATACATTCTTGTTGACATCGATGACATCTTTGTTGGAAAAGAAGGAACAAGGATGAATGTGAAAGATGTGAAGGTAAGGTGAGAATTTACGAGGTCTTCTCTCTGACAAATTTCTTACCACCAACTCATCAGAGTTCTGGAATTCTTCTCAATTCTGTATCTTCAGTTTTGCACACATCCTCCTTATAATGACTGAAAGAATGAAAGCTAAATGTTTAAAATATTATTTTTTTAAAAAAATCCCACTTTTTAAACATTTCATCTCTCCCAACTAGGCTCAGAACTTTCTCTTAAGAGATCCTAGACTGAATTATTTTGATTAATTATTATTTTGATTATTCACCATGTTTCATGATGTGTGGAAAGTCAGATCTCAAAAGTACTGTGTGATACATTCATCCACTCTGGCTCTCTACTGTTACTGTACTTGTTGCATTCTGAGATAATTTTATTTATTTATACTCATCATCAGATTTATTTTTAACCTTCTGGGTTCCCTAAGATAATTAAGACAGATTGATTGGATAAAACAATCAATTAGGTCTGCTGATCTTCACATTTTAGCACTAAGCCACCATCAGATTGGTGGGCTTGTAGGTTAATTCTGCATTTCATAGGCCTCAATAGAGAAATAGTTGAAAGAATATTTAAGTAACTGACTTTGTAGCACTCAAGTCACTAGAGTTTGCCTTGTGCTATGTTCTGATATTAAAATGAAAGAAAATTATTTTGGCTAGTATCCTCAGGGATCCCAGAAAAGAAACTGGGAATGACTTAGATATCTTTTGAAGATTAAACATTTAAAAGTTTCATAAGGAGTATGTGTGATTAAATCCCCCTTTGGAATTGTCTAAATTTGAGCAAATATCTAGTGAACTATTATTAGGTTAACTACATAAACAATTTATCCAGCTCAGGTTGAATATTTTTTATGAGAAATGATTCCCTTTGAAAATGCTTAGATTATTTTCTAAAATATCATAAAAGAATCATTTTCCTATGTATGTAATTTATGTATGCAACCTGGCTTCTTCTTATTTATCATTTGATTTGATTTGTATGTTAGCTAAGGCAACACGTGGGAAACATACATTTCAAAGTCCAGTTGAAGCCCAACATTAATATTAATAAAATAATAGGGTTGAATGTTAAACAGTCCATTGTTAAATAAACAATGTGTGCTTTATTTAAGGATATATAAAACATGGCAATTTGCGTACTTTTATACAAGGATTATAAAAATCAGTCTTCTGATTTTCTCATCTTGGTTATCTACCTGGACAAACTTGATCCAAGGAATTTCTGATTTAAATTACCGTGTTTCCCCGAAAATAAGACCCTATCTTATATTTTTTTGAACCCTGAAATAAACGCTTGGCCTTATTGCCATGCGCTAAAAGCACAATTGGGCTTATTATCAGAGGATGTCTTATTTTGGGGAAAACAACAACAACAACAACAACAACAATAATAATAATACAAACTCATATAGAACTTTCAGAGATATATTAGTGTAGTTATAATTTTAGTTAGTTTTAGTGTTATTTTAGTTATATGTTGCTATCAGATTGTATACATAGTCAGCTTTCCCTTAAACTCTCATACCAGAGAGATATAGATTGTACTTTATGAGATGCATGAAGACAAATATGCATGCTTCAGCATCCCATCTGGGTCCATCACTGGGACCAGAGGTTTAGTCTTCCAAGCTTTCAGGCTCATGCTGGAGCCCACCCTGCACTCTAGACTATTCCAGGACTCATGCTGGAGCTCATCCAGCACAGCCCATCCAATGTGTGCTCTTACGCATTATGGTGAGAGAGAAGTTTCCTGAGGATAGGCTTCAGCACAAGTCCAAAAGCTCAGAAGACTAAACTCTAGTCCTGGTGACTGACCCAGATTGGGTTCTGCAGCATTATGTCATGCTTTTGGGGGATTTATCTATTTTTACATCCTATGTGTATTACACTGAGCATCAGGAATCAGTCACTATGTAAGTAGTTTCATCCCACTTGATTTCTAAATGCTAATTAGTAATTCTACATAGTAATTCTACATAGGTAGTCCTTGACTTAATGATGGCACTAAGGAATAGAATAGAATAGAATAGAATAGAATAGAATAGAATAGAATAGAATAGAATAGAATAGAATAGAATAGAATAGAATAGAATAGAATAGAATTCTTTATTGGCCAAGTGTGATTGGACACACAAGGAATTTGTCTTTGGTGCATATGCTCTCAATGTATAAAAAGACAAGATACATTCGTCACGAATCATAAGGGACAACACTTGATGATAGTCATAGAGTAAAAATAAGCAATCGAATCATACTAGGAAACAATATCAATATAAATCGTAAGGGTACAAGCAACAAAGTTACAGTCATGCAGTCATGAGTGGGAGGAGATGAGTGATAGGAACGATGAGAAGACTAATAGTAACAGTAATGCAGCCTTAGTGAATAGTTTGACAATGTTGAGAGAATTATTTGTTTAGAAGAATGATGGTATTCTGGAAAAAACTGCTCTTGTGTCTAGTTGTTTTGGTGTGTGGTGCTCTATAGCGTCATTTAGCAATAGCACTTAAACTTATATACTACTTCATAGTGCTTTAAAGCAGCCTCTGGATGGTTTACAATGTCAGCATATTGCCCCTAACAATCTGGGTCCTCATTTTACCAACCTTGGAGGGATGGAAGGCTGAATCAACCTGTTGAACCTGTCAAGATCAAACTCCAGGCTGTGGACAGAGTTAGCCTGCAATACTGCATTCTCACCATTGGGCCACAGGGGCTTAACAATCAATTGCTTAGCAACTGTTCAAAGTTACAACAGACCTCACAAAGGCTATCTACAACCCTGTTTTAAAGTTACTGACACTATAGCACCCTTGCAGTCATTGAGCCTTATGACCAACTGTAGGGATGCTGCAGTGACATCCATCTATCCATCCCACCCCACTGGCCCTGGTAGCCAGTCATTCACTCGGGGGAGATTAGGCTGGCTATAGCACGCATGAGTCAGCTGCAGTTTACTTCTTATCTAGTAACCTAGGGGAAATCAGGCCATTGGGAGTTTGCAAGCCTCCAATGATCCAGGAGATCCAGCTAGGATCCCAAGATGCAAGAAGTGGTCCATGGGGTGCTTCACAGAGTGGGGAACACCTTGGGAGTTCTGGGACAGCCTGGACCTGTACTAGAACTCCCAGGCCATCCCTTCATCTGAGAGACCCCATGCTCCACTTAGTAAACTGGGGGGGGGGGAGATGGGGGCTGTTAAGTAAGGCAATCACATGACTTCTGACTATAATGGGCAAGCTCCATTATGATCATAACTTATGATCGAATCGCCCCTTTGCGGCCTCTCTATCGACAGGGATCCCGGTTTGCTCCTTGGTTTTCCATGGAGCTACAGGAGATGAAGTGTCAGAAGAGACGCCTAGAGGACCGTTGGAGATCCTCCCATGCCAAACCTGATTGAATACAGCTAAGAACCCATATTAGGTCTTATCTTGTGGCAATGGAAGCGGCGAAACAGGAGTATTTCGCCGCTCTCATTGCATCTGCAGAAAACCGCCCAGTGGCCTTGTTTCACGTGACCCCCTCCCTCCTCAATCTGGGAGCAAGGAAGGATCCCTTACAAGGCAGTGCTGAGGATTTTGTTCAATTTCTGCAAGACAAAGTCGCTCAGATCCAGACGGGTTTGGACTCTGACTGGGCAGAATCCGACGAGGGAATGGGAGCAAGTCTTGAAGGTGACATCTGGGCTGAGTTCGACCCTGTTTCCATAGAGGAAGTGGACAGGATAGTGGGTAGATTGGGAGCCTTCACATGTTTGTTGGACCCATGTCCCTCCTGGCTTGTTGCGGCAACCAGAGAGGGGACCGGAGACTGGATCTGGGCGATTACTAATGCTTCTTTGAGGGATGGGGTCTTCCCTGCCGTACTCAAGGAGGCAGTGGTTTGTCCCCTCCTCAAGAAGCCAGCCCGGAATCTGGCCTCCTTAAACAACTTTTGCCCTGTCTCCAACCTTCACTTTGTAGCAAAGGTTGTTGAGACCATGGTGGCTTACCAACTCCCACAATTCCTGGAGGAAGCTGATTACCTAGACCCATACCAATCAGGTTTCAGGTGCAGCCACAGCACGGAAACGGCATTGGTCGCCCTGGTGAATGATCTCTGGCAGACCTGTGATGGGGGTTGTTCCTCTATTCTGGTGCTACTTGACCTCTCAGCAGCTTTTGATACCATCGACCATGGTATCCTACTGCGACGGCTCCGGGTGTTAGGAGTAGGGGGCACTGTGTTACAGTGGTTCTCCTCCTATCTCTCGGGCCGTATGCAGTTTGTTTGGGCAGGGGGTCAGAGATCGTCCCCTAGGCCCCTCACATGTGGGGTACCACAGGGGTCGGTTCTCTCCTCCCTGCTCTTTAACATCTATATGAAGCCACTGGGTGAGATCATTCGTAGTTTCGGGGTGAGGTATCATCAGTACACTGATGATACCCAATTGTATATCTCCACCCCAGACCAACCCAGGGATGCCCTTTCCGTGATGTCTAAGTGCCTGGAGGTGGTACGGGTCTGGATGGGTAGAAACAGGCTCAGACTCAACCTCTCCAAGAGCGGCTGTGAATCCCGGCATTGGCTGATTTAGTCACCCCATCACTTTTGATGGGAGGGAGTTACTTACTCCCTCTGAAAAGGCTCACAATCTTGGCGTCCTCCTTGATTCACGGCTGTCCCTTGTGGATCATCTAATGGCCGTGACAAGGAGGGCTTTTCAACAGGTTCACCTAGTGCGCCAGTTGCAGCATTTCCTAGACAGGGATGCCCTCCATACAGTCACTTAAGCTCTCATTGTCTCTCAGTTGGATTACTGCAATGCCCTCTACATGGGGCTTCCCTTGTGGTGCACCTGGAGGCTCCAGCTGGTCCAGAATGCAGCCGCGCAGGTTGTTACGGGAGCTTCCTGTTACTCCCGTGCAACACCTCTCCTGCGCGAGCTGCACTGGCTGCCGGTGGCATTCCAGATCCGCTTCAAGGTGCTAGTATTGACCTATAAAGCCCTACATGGCATGGGCCCGGGATACTTGCAGGACCACCTCCTACCACCCGCCCACCGCCCAGTGCATTCACATAGAGCCGCCCTCCTCCGGGTGCCGTCGGCCAGACAATGTCGGTTGGCGACCCCTAGAATGAGGGCGTTCTCTGTGGCCACACCAACCCTCTGGAATTGGTTATCCACCGAGCTCCAGACAGCTCCCGATCTCCGCACTTTCCGCGCTGGCCTGAAGACATGGCTGTTCCAGCAAACTCCCTAATCAACTACGAGGTTTTAATTTTGGGGATTTTAATTTTCATATTGGTTTTAGGTGTTATTGTTGTTGTTTTATTTGTGTGAGCTGCCCCAAGTCCTTTGGGAGAAGGGCGGCATATAAATTTTAATAATAAATAAATAAATAAATAATAAACTTGAGGGCTACCTGTATTTTCCTTTGGAGATTCTGCTAAATCACTTTCTAAACAGGAAGTAAATTAAATAGAATCATTGAAAACCAGACAATCTAAAGGACCAAAGCCTCCTTCAGGAACTTGAAATTTTTTTATAAACTGACATTAGGCAAGTAATTAGATTGGGGAATTTGTGATAGTCATTTCCATTATAATGCTCTCTCTCTCTCTCTAGGCCTATTTTCTTAGCATCTTTGCTGTCTTAGAAATGACAGGCAGAAATCTATTCTGTTTTCCCCCACTTTACATCAAACTAGAGAACTTCATAGTATTTTAGCTCTAGTTTTTAGCTATTGATTGTTGTTTTGAATTTTGAGTAATACTATTTTTAAAATATTTTAATATACTTTAGTACGTTGATCTTAAACATGTTCAAATTAAACATGGGGAGAATACGCACACACACAGTATACATTAGCACTATATCATACATCTTATTTATTTTTCTGCAACACTAAACTTATAGTTTGATAGTAAATACATTCATTAGCAAGTTGTAGTAAATGTTATAAAAGTATGTAAGAACTATCTAAGTGGGAACCAGCATATAAATGCATAATCCCTATCCTGTTTAAGGCCTTAAACCAAGGCCTTATTTGGGCTGTGGAAGGATACAACCAGAAGTGAAAAGCCCAATAAATTTGTCTCCAGAGGAATGAGGTATCCAACAAAGAAAAGCGAATCTGGAATCACTGATTCTGGCCTCCTAGTTTAATTTCAATATTAATGGCATTAATATTGTTATTGTTATCTCATTGTTGCAGTCTTTGCTAAACTTTAGCATCTAAATCTTGCCTATCACCCTATTTTGGTCTTTTTTTATAGACACTTCAGTTGCATTACCACTGCTCTTGAAATTAACTATTCAAAAATAAGGTTTTAGTCTTCTCTAGAAAGCATTTTATGTCCCCCATTAGATGGAAAATTAATAAAAGGCCAGTTACTAAGTTAAGAATTTAAACTGTGCATGTTCATATTTCCAACTGCTAGATTAATCAATTGAGCAACTCTCTAGAAAGGACACAAAAGCCTCCAACAAAATACTTAAATATGTCTTCGATCAAGACAATTACATTGCTGCAGCAATTAAATTATATAAATCTTAAATTATATTTGTTGTTATATTGTAATCTGTCTATAATCTGGAAAGTAGTCAATCTAAATTTCTAAAATACATATTCCATGCTCCTCACTTAACCTCATATACCTTTACTCAGTTAGAGCTTGGTTTATGTTTCTTGAGGCGTTCTAAGAATTCGACCTGGCAGGTTTTGCTGGAATTGGGTTAATTTTTATATTTAAAAAAGGAGTGGGATATTAGAATAACAGAGTTGGAAGGGACCTTGGAGGTCTTCTAGTCCAACCCCCTGCTTAGGCAGGAAACCCTACACCACTTCAGACAAATGGTTATCCAACATCTTCTTAAAAACTTCCAGTGTTGGAACATTCACAACTTCTGGAGACAAGTTGTTCCACTGATTAATTGTTCTATGTCTCAGGAAATTTCTCCTTATTTCTAATTGAAGTTGCTTCTCTCCTTGATTAGTTTCCACCCATTGCTTCTTGTCCTGCCCTCAGGTGCTTTGGAGAATAGCTTGACTCCCTCTTCTTTGTGGCAGCCCCTGAGATATTGGAACACTGCTATCATGTCTCCCCTAGTCAAACTAGACATACACAGTTCCTGCAACCATTCTTCATACGTTTTAGCCTCCAGTTCCCTAATCATCTTTGTTGCTCTTCTCTGCACTCTTTCTAGAGTCTCAACATCTTTTTTACATCGTGGCGACCAAAACTGAATGCAGTATTCCAAGTGTGGCTTTACCAAGGCATTATAAAGTGGTATTAACACTTCACGTTATCTTGATTCTATCCCTCTGTTTATGCAGCCCAGAACTGTGTTGGCTTTTTTGGAAGCTGCTGCACACAGCTGGCTCATATTTAAATGGTTGTCCACTAGGACTCCAAGATCCCTCTCACAGTTACTACTATTGAGCGAGGTACCACATATACTGTACCTGTGCATTTTGTTTTTCTTGCCTAAATGTAGAACCTTACTTTTTTCACCATTGAATTTCATTTTGTTAGATAGTGCCCAATATTCAAGTCTATCTTGAATATTACTGAAGCTTAATTCTTTCTACTACTGACTTCTGTTTTTTTGTTTTATTTTTTTCATTTTTCTAATCCCACAGAGATATATGTCTAGTAGATTGGCTGAGCCCACAGGGTAAGGCTGCAGATCAGACATATTTCTGAGTCTTTCCTCAGTCTTCAGATCCTAGCCCTAGGTCCTGCTTTTGGGTACCAGTTTGATAGTATCTCTTGGCACCGTTTATCTCTCAGAGAGATCCTTGCCTGGATCTCCACAATTTTCAATGTATGTGAGAGGACTTTTACACTTGTGTATTTCCTTTCAAGTAATTAAAGGGACAAATGCAAGTTGTTTCAAGTTCCTGGCTATGTAACATAATGGCACATACCGTAGCAATAGCACAGTGGTGAAATCCAAAATATTTTTACTATTGGTTCTGTGGGTGTGGCTTGGTGGGCATGGCAGGGGGAAGGATACTGCAAAATCTCCATTCCCACCCCACTCTGGGGCAAGTGAGAGGTGGTATTTGCCGGTTCTCCGAACTATTCAAAATTTCCTCTACCGGTTTTCTGAACTGCTCAAAATTTCCACTACCGGTTCTCCAGAACCTGTCAGAACCTGCTGGATTTCACTCTTGCTATAGCACTTTTTTCCCTGCTGAAAGATAATCTGTTTTACGAGGTAAACAAAATCAAGCTTTTTTTCTTTAAAAAAAAACCCATTGTTTTTGAGGTTTAACTATTAAATTTTTATTTATTTATGTATGTGGTCACCCATTTGCCAAATAATTTTGGAAGGATTGTCAAATTTAAACATTAAGGAGAAAAAAATAGATCAATCATAAAAAGCCAGACATTAAAACTTATAATGGCAGGATCAATTATTCATTAAACTCACTAACATTTGGGTCCAGTGTTGAAGGAAAAAGCTAGGTCTTAAGTGTATTTCTAAATAAAGGTAGTCCTTGACTTACGACCACAATTGAGCCGAAAATTTGTGTTGCCGAGTTAAGAAATTTGTTAAGTGAGTTTTGCCCCGTTTTAGGACTTTCCTTGTGACATTTGTTAAGTGAATCACTGCAGTTGTTAAATTAGTGACGTTGTTAAGTGAATCTGGCTTCCCCCATTGACTTTCCTTGTCAGAAGGTCGCAAAAGGGGTTCACTTGATCCCGGGATTCTGCAACCATCATCAATATGAGCCAGTCACCAAGTATCTGAATTTTGATCATGTGGCCACGGAGATGTTGCAACAGTTATAAGCAGGGGTGGGTTCTAAATTTTTTTACTACCGGTTCTGTGGGCGTGGCTTATTTTGTGGGCGTGGCTTGATGGTCATGTGACAATTCTTTAGGATTGAGCAGAGCTACTGGTCTACCAGGCTTTTAACTGCTTGCAGAGCTGTACCGGTCTACCCATTTGTTCTTGGAGCGTTCCGGTTTACCCATTTGTTTTTGGAACTGGTCTACCACCACACTGCCTTTTAACACTGATCAGCTGTAGGGCGGCCCTTTGAAGCCCTGCGGCAAGAGTTTAAACAGGTTTTTTCCTTCTAGCCAATCAGCTGGGACTCGGGAGGCAGCGAATAGATTGGGGGTGGGGCCAAATAAAAGATAAGAATAACGCGGGGGCGGGCAGCTCCTGACCAAAGAGAACCGGTTCAGTGACGCCATATTGTCACCGCTACCGACTCGGCCGAACTGGGCCAAACCGGGAGGAACCCACCACTGGTTATAAGTGTGAAAAATGGTCATACGTCACTTTTTTCAGTGCTGTTGTAACTTTGAACTGTCATTAAATGAACTGTTGTAAGTTGACGACTACCTGCATCACTAGAGTTGTGGCCATCCAAAGGCAAATATGCAGGATATAGAAATTATAGTGCTGTCCAAATCAAAAGGGGAAAAAGCTGGTAACATAGAAAAAAGAAATCTCCAAAGAGCATACAGTGCTCTGGGTAAATCTCAAGAGGCTTTTGCTACAAATGAAGTAGCAAAGTAACTACTTCCTGTCTAAAGTTTTGAAGGTTATAAGGCAAAAATACAAAATATCAGTTATCCTAAAAATATTCTAGAAGAGGGGGAAATGTACTTTTTGTACTTGTCTTTAAATGCACTCATGGTGCGTTTGAATTCAGCTCTAAAACTTACCATCTACTGCAGCCCTGGTGAGTAAAACAGCTGAGGTGCAGCAATCCGCTCTGCCATGCTGATCAGCTGGGCTTCAAACAAAGGAAATAAAGGTAAGTAAGTAAGGCGCAGGGGTGGCCCAGCGAATTGTCAGTGCGAACCAGTTTGGTCCAAGCTTATTATCAGAACTACCGGTTCACCCAAATCAGTCCGAACCAATAGAATCCCACCCCTGGTTAGTACAATACAAAAACAATCCAACAGGGGAAATGGCTTTATAATCCCAGTGAGTGTTGTGGCCCGTCAGCGGCCTGCGTGGATCATGGCTGATCCCGAGGAAGAGGAGGCTGGTGTGGTGTCACGCCAGCAGCCTGCGCAGCCAGCGCTCGCGTCGGACAGCGAGGAGGCTGAAGAGGATGTGGTGCCAGAGGCAGAGACTCAGCCAGGGCCTTCAGAACCTCCATAGGTCCTTTCAAATGGAGAGAGCGAAGTGGAGGAGCCTCTCCTCAATGCTCCAGCACGCAGGGCTGCCAAAAGGCAGGAGTGGCTACTCAGGAGGAGGAGGTCTCCTCAAGAGTAAGGCTTGAGGATAATTGGCCACTCCCTTAACCTATTTAAGTCACACGCTGTTAGTAAGTTTCTTGCTAGAAACAACTTGTAATTATCAACAGAGCATTTTTAGAAAAGTCTTATCTTGCTTTCTGAGCTGGTTGCCAACCTTTGCCAGACTTTGGTTTATTCTTGCTACTTAATAAATTTGATAAGGATCGTTGGTGTGTGTCTATATCCTTGGGAATCTGGAGCTGGGGCAGAACAATGAGATAGATGGACTGAAAAATGTGGGAAATGCTCCACATATAGCCAAACAGATCAGCTCCTATTCTAAAGTTATGAGTAAATTATCCCTTACTTCCTAATCACCACGGCAGATTCATAGATTGTATTAAGCATGTTCGTTTGCCTTCTTGACTTAGTGTAATAAATGAACTACTGTCATTATGCAGGTTGCTGTCAATTGGGACTAGAACTTCTGTCACTAAATGATACAGTCATTAAGTGAGTCACCGTGTGACCAACCTCAACTTTAGAAAAAAAATTGCCATGGTCATTTAGTGAATTTCCATTGTCAAAATTTTTGAAGCCCACCCTTGCTTACGATCCATCCTTGAAGTTATAAGCAAAGTTACAAACTGCTTCTTCCCCCTCCATTCATAGTGGACAAGATACTTCCAGGGGTAGGATTCAAAAATTTTAGCAACTGGTTCTCTGCCTGGTTGCTAGGTGGATGTGGCCATGGTGGGCATGGCCTAGTTGGCCTCCTGCACCATGGCGGGGGTGGCATTTTCGCCCTCCCCAACTTCCGGAGGCTTTCCTCGAGTCTCTGGGAGGGCCTCCCCTGGGCTCCAGAGACCCTCCAGAAGTTGAAAAAGGGCCATTTCTGGACTTCCGGTACTTCTGGTAGGCCCATTTTTTTTTCTTTCAAATCATTTTTTATTTTATTTTTTTAAAAAAGAAAAGAAAAATAGAACATACAAACATCATTCATTCAATCAAGTACAGACAGTACATCGTGCCCTCTCCTCTCTTCACAATATCAGACTAGTGCCCTCTCCTCTCTTCACAATATCACTACATATCCAAAACTTATTCTTATGTAAAATATATCAGTTGTATCATCATTTAAAGTATTTCAGTATTTACTTATATATCACCATTTTTTATTATCTACCCAATGATAAAATAAATCCCACATCAAATAATATTGTTTTTCTTCCTGCTCTCTTATTTCTAATGTCAATTTACTTTTTTCGGCACAGTCCAACATTTTCCTAATAATTCCTAATAATTTTCCTAAAAATGGTAGGCCCATTTTTTGTCCTCCTCAGGCTCCGGAGGCCTCCTCTGGGCCACCCCCAGGCTCCAGAAGCCCTCTGAAGGCCAGAAATGGGCCCGTTTCCAGACTTCTGAAATTTCCAGGAGGCCCATTTTTCACCCTCCCAGAGCCTCCGCGCAGGCCTTGCATTTACCTGGCATCCAAAATGGGCCACGTGGAGATTCCTGGGAGGGGTGGGGCAGGGTAGGCAGGGCCAGCCAGTCCTTGCAACTACCAGTTTGGCAAACCAGATGTAAAATTAGCATCCGGTTTGCCTGAACCGATCTGAACCAGCTGAATCCCACCCCTCCCTTCAGGCACTGAAGAAACAAATATCTTTTGGATATCTTCTTTTCTCCAGGCCAGTGCCAGAATTCCCATTCCCCTGCACAGAAGGGAATTCCATCATTGGACTGGAGAAAGCAGCTTGCATCCCAAAGATCTAAGCTTCTTTCCAATCTTCCTACTGTTAAGAAAGATGTTTGCTTTCCAGCCATACAAGCTTTTTTCAGACTTTCTACCCATCAGGGATATCATGTTTCCTAGCTTTCTGACTGGACATGCAATGTTTCTGAAGGGTAGAAAGGCTAGCACAGAGAGCAGAGGGAATCACCCTGCTGGACCAGAGAAAGGATGCTTGCATCTTCAGGATCTGAGCTTCCTTTCTCCAACCTAGCATGGTGGTTCCCTTTGACATATGGAGGAGAGAGGAAGACCTGGTGGACCAGTAAAACAAAACTCAGATCTTTGGGATCCAAACTTCCAATCTCTGATCTAACATAGGGATTCGCTTCTGCTCTTGGAGGACAGCTGCTTGCCCTCTTTCAGCATGCAGCTTTATGGCTCCCATCTTCCTAACAACCCACACGATCACTTAGCAACCACAACTGGGAGGCCCAAGATTACAGCCGTTGAGTGGAACAGTAATGTGCACACTTTGCTTAACAACAACCACAACTGGGAGGGCCAGGATTACAGCCGTTGAGTGGAGCAGAAATGTATACACACCTCATTTAACAACAAAAACAACTTACAACCAACATTCTAGGCCCAGTTGTGGTTCTAAGTCAAGGGCTACCTGTAGATAGATAGGCAGTATCATATGGTATAAGAATGTTGGATACATCATCCCCATCCGTCAAATTGTACACATATGCGGAAGAGAAGACAGCTCATTTTATCCCATTACCCATCTCTGTTCTACTGTTACATACAAATAAGGGTTAAAGCTGGAATCCTAAAAAGTAATTTCCTTTGGGACTCTCCATACTAATTATCAAACTAGTTACTAAGTCTGCATTACTATTAATCTTTTCATGAGCCTGGTGGCGCAGCAGACTAAAGCACTGTTATTAACTGTTATTAACATCAAGCTGTCTGCAATTACTGTTATTAACATCAAGCTGTCTGCAATTACCGTAAGTTCAAATCTCACTAGGCTCAAGGTTGACTTTCCATCCTTTCTAAGGTAGGTAGGACCCAGATTGTGGGGGCAATAAGGTGACTTTGTATAAATATACAAAAGTATGAAGGCTATTGCTTAACGCATTGTAAGCTGCCCTGAGTCTCCAGAGAAGGGCGGCATATAAATCATTTTTTTTTAAAAAAATCATTCCTATCACCCATCTCCTCCCACTTATGAATGTATGACTGTAACCCTGTTTCTGGTATCCTTAAGATTTATATTGACTGTTTCCCTATGACTATCATTAAGTGTTGTACCTTATGATTTTTGACAAATGTATCTTTTCTTTTATGTACACCGAGAGCGTATGCACCAAGACAAATTCCTTGTGTGTCCAATCACACTTGACCAATAAAGAAATCTATTCTATTCTATTCTATTCTATTCTATTCTATTCTATTCTATTCTATTCTATAATTATTAGTATTATTAGTATTACTTTTATTATTAGTATTATTTCCAGGGGCTCTGAAAAATTCTATGCCTTTTTTGCTGTAGAGATACAGATGGTGGAGATGCTGTTATTAAGTCTTCTGCCCTTTTATCTTTTGACTGTTTGGTTATTATTTATAGCAAGATTTATAAGGCTACACAGCTCAACAGCATGATTCTGGGCGGCATACAGCATACAAAAAAAATAACAACCCTCTATCATCTCCTAGACTACCAAGCAACACATCAAAACAACCAAAATTGATATCTCAACCAGCCCCTGGTGCCTGGGGGATTACCAGTTGCTCATGTTTCTTTCTTTCTGTCTGTCTGCTTTTGCTTGCCTTTTGCCCATTTTGTTAGTTAAGTGTTATTGATGTGTGCTGATGTTTAATAAATAACCACCAAACTATATATATGTGCCTGCTCTGAACTGGACATAAGGATTGACTGGGAGCATGCTGGGTGCAGATTAAACTACAAATCATCCATAATAAATTTCCAACATGTGTAACCTGTGGAGAGGCTTGCTGAAGCTTGCAGTTCATATTCAAGAAGCCCCAATGTCTCCTTAAAAGGGTGGAATACATAAAAAGCACATACATAGTTAAACAAATCCTCCCCGCCAAGCCCTTGGCAAAATGTTCACTGCAGAAGCCTCTGGCAGCAATTTATCTGGTTGTTTAATCCCTTCTGGGTCAGGACTCCAGTCCCTTTTTTTCCTCCTCCAACTGATTTATTGATTCTTCCTAGCTGGGGAAAGTTTTTCAGCATCTCTCAACTCCGGCGAAGAATACCAACCAATTTCATGATTTGTTTGCACCTCACAAACTGTCCTTATTTACTTATCATATCCTGCCTTTTTAAAATTTATATTTGTGTATATATATATACATATATTGTGTGTATGTGTGTGCAGAGGTGGGCTTCAAAATTTTTTAGCAAGGGGTTCTCTGCCTGGTTGCTGGGTGGGTGTGGCTATGGTGGGTGTGGCCTAATTGGCCTCCTGCACCACGGTGGGGGGGAGGGAGAAAATGGCCTCTCCAGGCTCCAGAGGCCCTCTGGAGGCCGGAAACAGATCCGTTTTTCCCGAACTTTCAGTAGGCCCGTTTTTCGGCCCCCCCCCCGAGCCTTCGTGTGCACCCTGCACTTACCTGCATCTAAAACAGGCCACGTGGGGACTCCTGGGAGGGGAGGGAAGGGATGGGCGGGGCCAGTCAGGAGTGGGATTTGTGGGTCTCCAAACTGCACCGAATTTTAGCTAGAGGTTATCCCAAACCCCTGCGAACCCCCAGCAGCCCACCTCTGTTTATGTGTAAATA